GTATCTGTAATTCTTGTATCAATATAACTTCACACTTTATGACGTGACCTGTGAATATTTTTTGAGATAACTTACTTGTATATTTGGAACACTAGCAGTCTTTCTCAAGGGTCTTCCTTGAGCTGCTAGTTTTTCTTTAATAACGACTTCTTGTCTCAATCTGTCTAAGGCTAGTATACTCTCCACAGCTGATACTCCTTTGGTATATTTCTCTATGTATGTCTCCCCATCCGCAGTTCCTCCTTCATCTGCCCCTGAAGCAGCCATTAATGCTAATGATTCTCTGTCCTCTGGATCTTCAGAAGCCTAGATGAAAAAAACAGTTTGCAAAGATTCACATTAGTCATTTCTACTGATATAAATTTACATTCATCATTTTTACTGATATAGATTTACATTTGTCACTTGTCTTATCGGGTTTTGGAAGGTGATTAAGAAAGAAAATCATGAAAAAGACCTACTTATAATAATCAGATAAAAAAGAAATCACAGAGCACTTGCAACACATAATTGTTGATTAACATGCATACAGATTTTCATTGATATTTGCTAATGAATTTCTGAGAAAATGCTGGTAATACACAGACACACAAATGATAGGACAAAGTCTAAAGTTAATAGTCCCCTTTTCAGGCTGCGGTAATGATAGTGGTGATTTATACCATGAAATAATGAATAAGTACATCATTCATTATCATAAGTATTGTGTTACAAAGTCAGTCTAGAGTTCAACTGAGCTAAAATACAGCAATTACATCACTAACTAAATCAGCTTTGAGAGTGAGTGTGTGTGTTGCTGTTAAATTCTATTACCTTTGGTATATTTGAAACTACTTCATATGTAACTCCACAGGAATGGCACGACTCCGGCTAAAATACAAATAAGAATGCAATCAGATATTGACACATCAATACAAATATTATAAGAAATATAGAATCATTAACAAAATTATGTTTGAATGGTTTATCACAGATTTCTTCCATATGCCTATGCCTTATATGCCTATAAGAGAGGGATTCTGGGAGTTTGATGCTCCTACATTTCTCACCAGACTGCTATCTTTACTTGTTAAGAATCACACTCAACTACTGACAAACCTCATCACTGTCACACTAACTATTTTCTGAATGAATCACACTCAACTACTCGACTACAAACCTCATCACTGTCACACTAACTATTTTCTGAATGAAACCCTCTATGATGCACATCAAACAGTTTTTTTCTTAATTTTCAAGCCATAACTTCTCTACCTCCTATTCTTATAATTTCTCTCTGAACCATTCTTCATCACCCAGTCTAGTTGTACATGTTGGGGCTTCTTGTTCCAAAATTAGCATAGATAGAAGCCCACATACCTTATTTCTAGCACTGATACTCAATGCAGGGTGATTCTTGCACTTAAGCAGCTTCACATCTACCAAAGCACATTGATATACACTCAAACCTGTGTATAGTGACAACTTAAGGAACTTCTTTATAGTCAGGTGGTCTTTATATAGAGGTTGAACTTATTTTTTATGGAATGCCAACTCATATTTTGAAATATTTGTCAAGTAAATAATGAGATGGTGGTGTTGCAACAGAAGTAAATTTATGTGAGTTGATTCAAATCAAAATCAGATAAGTTTGACTTGAGAACAGAATGCAAATTTATGTGAGCTGATTCAAATCAAAATCAGATAAGTTTGACTTGAGAACAGAAGTAAATTTATGTGAGTTGATTCAAATCAAAATCAGATAAGTTTGCCTTAAGAACAGAATGCAAATTATTCCATTCTTCAAATCAAAATAAGACAGGCAGTTATATCTTGGCACCTTCTTAACCTTTTCATCACCAATTCACAAATAGTCCTTTTTATATGCCACACTTTCTTTCAGGAAGACTGGTACAAAAATAGCCAAATTTTTTGAGTAAAAACTGAAATCGACGCAAATTTAGGGTTCATTTCTAGAACTCTTAAAGAAAAATTCTGTTTACTGTCATCAATGAAAGATGTGCTGTATTACACAGACATTGCAAATATTCTTACCATTCGGTAAAACTTTTTTCGAAAGGTAAAAGAAAAGCTCTGCTTCTTATAAATATTGACACAGATGCGTTTCCGTAGCACCATCTCCATGGCAGCAGGATGACTCAGTCTGGCTACAACTTTGACTATTAGATAGACTCTCTCATTAGTACCAGTAACACGATTCAGATTCAGTGAGTCATGAATTGATGAATCCCATGATGCAACAGCACTCACCTGCGAGAGACGCAAATTCAACTGTAAACAAATAGTTAATTAAGAAGTGAAATTGACAAACAAATTATACTTGATTACATTACA